GTCATTATAGTCCATGTCATAATGGAAAAATATTTAAAGAGTCTTGCATATATGCCTGCCAAACTCAAAGTTCTATAGGGAATGGAAACGGTAGGAGATTGAAAACTGATAATGCAAATTCTCTTGAGGTACATGAGAGTAATTGAAGCCCTTCTTCAAATATTGAAAATGAAGCAGGGAAAAAAATGATTTGAGTTGAACGAACTTAAACAAGGCCACTAGTTTTCACTTTCATTTCACCAATTAAGTAGGAATCAATTTGACAAAAGCATGTCTGAAATGTTATCAATCCATGGAAGCTCAAACAGATAATACTCGGAATACCAACTGAAAATCATCCAACAATGCTATACAACAGTACCTTTCTAGGGAAACACCCTATTCACCACTGGCAACAATGACTAGAACTATAAATCTCATTCCCACTTGATATTTTCTAGAAACATTTGGTTCACACACCTGAAACCTCTCATGAACATTGTCCCAAACTAATACATGCTGGCTTACTTCAAGTGAAGAGTTAACTCATGGACTAGCTTGCTTCCTACAAGTTTACATTTCAATTTAAATGTAAGCTTGATGCATCTCTGGGGGAAAAAAGGGGGCTACTGAAACATCAAAGGCATTCATAAATCACTACATTCCAGTTAATGAGGCCACATGAATTCCAAAGTGGTAATCATTGAAATTGATAAAACATATGGGTGGCAAGGGAAACTGAGTGAAGAGACATTGAATGGTGTATCAACAGCATACATACACATAAATAATAACATAAATTCACATTTGCAAATGTCATAAATTGGAATAAGATGATTGCATGAGGCTCATATTCTGTCATCGTTTTCCTTAATTACTGCAATGCACTTTCTAAATATAAACTTGCTCAGATTACTTTGATATAAAATTGCCATATTTCAGTCTGGTAGAACAAAAGAATAAATTCTTCAATCAATTCAACTTCTGGCATTAAAAGGTGGGCTTTTACAAGTAGCATAGAAATACCAGCTGGCTTACTAATTTGGTTTCTTTCAATTCACAAAGGACTCTGCAATTAGACACAAAATATATTTATATATTCTTACCCAGGGCAGCACAACAAAAGTCCCTCATTTACAAAATACTTGGGG